CCCAAACCTGCAGAAGTGAGAACATAAAATTATGTAACTTCTGTCTGGAATTTAATTTTTGTATGAGAAGTTAGAAAAATTAAAATGACCAACTGCCAGGATATTTCTAACCGTTATTGGCACTTGCCTTTAATCAGTCATTTTGGAAGCCTCCCCTGTCCCCGCCCCGACTAGCAAGTAGCATCCCGGAGGGCCAAGGAAGCAGCGCGGACAGGCAGTGAGCACTGCAAATCCAGAGGCAGTTTCAGGTTCTGTGGACAACAGGAGCTTCAGTTCTGACATCTCTAGGACTGAACCAGAGCTGCAGGTGACCCTGTCTGGAGAGAGACAGGGTCTTCCCATTAGTCTCTGGTACAGACAGAGCAGGTAGGAGGGTGACAGGAGCTCTGGTACCAACCACCAAAGTGAAGATGAGGTGACAAAGTCTAGAAAGGAGTCATTTATTTAAAAAAAAACCAAAACAACAAAACAACAAAAAACAAAACAGCCCTCAGCAGGATTTGAAGACACACAGAGGAATGCACCACCCCGACCGCTTCTCGCTCCCCAGACAAGCGCAAGCACTGCCTGCGCGCTCCGCCCACGGTGCCTTCAGGCAACAGGAACCACGGATTACACAGGTCAAGACGGGCGGGTCACCTGCTTACGGGAGAAATCACGGCCCAAGCGCTTCCCAGCCTCCGCTGTCAGGCGCGCAGGCAGCTCCAGGCCTCTGCTGAGCTCTGGGCACTTCTCATGCGGCCGGGCTGCTCAGGCGGAGGCAGGCGGACACTCGCGTTACCACGGGGACGCGGCTCCCAGCACAGCCCACAGCCCACAGCCCAGGGGCAGAGCCTAAGGGCGCAGGCAGCTTGCTCCTTCCGCGATTCCCGGAATGTCGCGCGCATCTCAGAGGGGCACTTGACATTTGTCCCCACAGGTAAACCAAGACTATAATCACAACAGCAAGGACAGGATTGTGTTTTTTTCCTTTTTTTTCTTAAAGGAGTGAGGGCATGGAAAATACAGCACACCAATGAAACAAAATGCCAAAAAAAATTACAAAAAAATAGAAAATAGAAAAATGTATTTACAAGTAGTACATTACTATGATCAGAGAGCACAGACACCTGCTGCTATAATACATGCATCGGCTTCAGAAGAAAGGACTAAAACCCTGCAAGGGAGAAGCCTGGAGAAACAAAATAAAGGGCCAGAAAGGTTTGTCTTTTCATCCCTAATTTGCTACACTGATCAAAACCAAATGAGCGTCCCCTAAAGTCCATGAGTATATCAGTACAAATACTAGACTGGTTTTTTAACTGCACGTTCAGTCGTGGAGGGAAGGACAGCAGCTTATCCATATACAAGGAAGCCCGAGTCAAGGGCTCTACATGCTAACAATTACAGCAAGCCCCCGTCTGCTACACAGCATGACCTTAGCAGGTTTGGAGTTTTCTTTATTCATATATACCTATGTGCGTGTGTGTATGTATAAAAACCGTGCCCTCATTCACTGCCAACACAACATCTGGGTGGACATGAACTCTTTACAACAGTTCTTATGTGTATGTTGTAAGAAGTCACTCAATGTCTGTGGATTTAATAAGTCACTTCACACCACAGAAAATATTTAATAAATCCAAAAAAAGGAAAGAAGAATATAACGACAGAAGAGCTTCTGTCTCAGTTCTCTGAAACTGAATCCCCCACAGGAAACTGGTCCCAAAGTTCTTGAGGGTTCACTGAAGAAACTTCGGTTTGCTAACGTTTTTCATCCTTTTAGTGTTTAAAAGGTATAGAACGACTCCTTGCCGTTGTCAGTTTTAAAGAGTCACATCTCCATCCCCCACAGGTAACAGTCTAGTGCAGATCCATAAAAATGGGGAAGGAGGAGCGCTGGGGAGGGCCTGTCACTTCAGGAGGGGCTCCACCTCTACAACGGCAGGAAGAAAGGATCCGAGCAGGGCTCCAGCACCGCGCTCCTGCAAACAAGCTCCCTGCAAACGCAAAATCCAATCACACGTCAGTTCCTTAAACAGGTACGTCTCCGAGTACCAGGCCAACTCTAAGAGGAAACAAAACCACGCGTTGACAGAAAGGGACTAAGATGGCCATTCTGGTCACACTCTGTGATCCATCATACTTCCAGGAACCGGGAGCTGCTGGACTTGGAGTGGAACGGCTCAGACCACATCCGCCGTAGGTCACCCTGGGAAAGAAGGAACTGGACTAAGTTACAGGTTTAAACACGAGGCACATATCAACAAGTCTTTTCTGATTCTTGATCTCAGGCTGCTTCTGCAGAGAATCAAAGAACATTCACATTTTACTCACTGAACAGTAACCCACCATTCTTGGAAGGACTCACCAGAAGAGCTCTAAGGCCCCTTGAGCAGGGTGGGGCTTTTACCAACGCTATCCTGGTACAAGTTCTATTGCTTATGAGTCAGATGATCTAGGGAAGTTAGTTAACTTACCTCTGTGTCTGTTTCCTCATCTGTAAAATGGAGTTAAAAACAGAAGTCCTGTAAATAAGATAATGTTCTAAGTCTAGTTTTTTATCATTTCCTATTTCCAAACTTTATTCATTCAGAGTTTTGTTTTTTTTAGATTCCATGTATGAGTGAGATTATATGGTATTTGTCTTTGTCTTATTTCACTTAACACCCTCTAGGTTCATCTATGTTGTTGCAGATGGCAAGATTTCATTCTTTATTGCTTAATAATATTATTATGCAGACTTATGTATATTGACATACATCTTTTTTATCTATTCATCTATTGATGGGCATGTAGGTTGCTTCCATATCTTGGCTGCAATGAACACAGTGGTGCATAGATCTTTTTGATTTAGGGATTTTGTTTTCTTCAGATAAATAAATAGAAGTGGAATTACTAGATGACAGGCCTGTAGAACTATGAACTTCCTCTTAGAACTGCTTTTGCTGCATCCCAATTGAAAAGTTGTGTTTTTATTTTCATTTGTTTCTGTAGTTAATTTCTAGCTTCATGCCACTGTGGTCAGAAAAGATGCTTGCTACGATTTCAGTCTTCTTGTACTGAGGGAGGCTTGATTTGTGGCCGAATGTGTGATCTATCCTGGAGAATGTTCCATGCGCACTTGAAAGAAAGGATGAAATGTTCTATAAATGTCTATTAAGTCGAGCTCATCTACTATGACATTTAAGGTCATTATTTCACTATTTTCTGTCTGGAAGATCTGTCCATTGATGTGAATGGGATATTAAAATCACCTACTGATTATACCCTATTCTTGGATTGCTCCTGTATAATTATGAAACGTTCTTTGCCTTTTCACATTTTTTTGTTTTAAAATCTATTTAGTTTGATATAAATTGTTACTCTAGCTCCCTCTTCATTTCTATTTGCATGGAGTATCTTTTTCCATCCCTTTACTTTCAGCCTGTCTTCCAATTTGAAGGGAGTCTCTGGGAGCAGCACAGAGCTAGGTCATGGTTTTGTTACTTTTAACCCATGCAGCCGCCCTCTCCTCACTGGAGCACTTATTCCCTTTTCATTTACAGTGGTCGCCGACATGTACTCGCTGCCATTCTGTTCGCTGTTCTTACAGTTGTCCTCTCTTCCTTTCTTCGTCTCTTCTCTTCCCTCCTGTCTGGCTGGTTTTTTAATGTTCTGTTTAGGTTCCTTTCTCTTTGTTCTTCGTATCCTTTGTAGGTTTTTGGTTACCGGGACGTTCATGCGTAGCCTTCTTTACCTAGAGCAGTCTGTTTTAAACTGATAGGGGTTTAAGTGAAAATACAGGGTGGGGCAAGAGTAGGTTTACAGTTGTGAGTACATGAAGCACAGAGTTTATTCTTGTACTATTTATTAATTACTGTATTTTTTTATAAGAACTGTAAACCTACTTTTGCCCCACCCTGCACATTCTATAAGGAGTACGTTTTTACTCCCTCTCCATGCTTTATGTTCTTGATGTTGTATTTTAGATTTTTTTGTGTTGTGTAGCTCCAAACTACTTATTGTAGTTTAATACTTTTTCTTTTAACCTCTGTAGTAGCTTTTGTCTAACTTGCTGTATTTACTGAATATCTGGCTATGAGGCTTTGGTGTTTGGTATTTCTGGTTATGGCCTTTCCTTTCTACTTAAAGAAGACCCTTTAACATTTCTTGTAAAGCTGGTTTAAAGAAATACTTTTGTTTTTGTTTGTCTAGGAAACTTTTATCTCCTTCAATTCTCAATAACCTTGCTGGGTAATTATTCCAGGTTCCCTTCTTGTTTTTCTCTTGCTTCCTTCAAAACTGTCTCTATAACTTTTGTCATTTTAACTACAATATGTCTTTGTGTGGGTCTCTTTGGGTTCAACTTGTTTGGAACCCTCTGTGCTTCCTGGGCCTGGATGTCTATTTCCTTTTCCGGGTTAGGAAAGTTTTCAGCCATTACTTCTTTCTAGGATCCCTATATCTTGCAAATATTTGAACATTTGATGTTATCACGGAGGTCCCTTTAAACTATCCTTAATTATTTTCTCTTTTGTCTTTTTGTTTTGTCTTTCTATGTTTGCTTCTATGAATTAGAGAAAATAGCTGTCTCTTCCAATCCTGGAGAAGTGGCTTTATGCAGCAGTAAACTCTGTGGAGACTGTGGGTGCAGGGTGATTTTGGCAGGTTGGTAGGAGCTGAGCGGGTGCTTAAGGTGTCTGGGGCAGTGGCCTACTGAGCTGGAGCGGCTCCAGTGATGTGTCCAGGAATACACTGCAGAGGCCTTGCAGGCAGGCCAGAGCCCCTGCCCACCCTACGGAGGAGGAGAGCAAATGTAAATAATGGTGCTCACCAGAGAACTCATGCTGCTCTTTAGTCTTCTCTATACAGCCTATCTGGTTTGCTGTACTGAAAGTGGTCCCCTGCAGGAGAGAACTCTGTGCAGACTTTATGTGTCCAGTTTTGGAAAGCCTAGGGCACTAAGCCTGCCTGGCAGAGCAGCTCACTGGAGGAAGGTCAGGTGGGTGTGCTGACCCTGTTGTTTCTGCTTGCTCCTCCTGCCAAACTTTAACACAGAGTATTAAAAGTGCTGTTAGGTGACAATGGGGTGCTGCTTTTAAGAGAAGCAGGAAGTCTCTGCCACTGAGCTCTAGGGATTTCAGTTAATTATCCATGAGCAGGTGGTGTAGTGGTCTAACTCACTAGCATTTTCTGCCAGTGGCTGCCAGAATCTGGAAGATGTTGTTAATATCAGGTTAGGAAAACAAAAGAACAAAACCCCACTGTCAAGATCAAGAGCTCAGGGGTTAAACAGAACCATTTCCAGCAAGAATACATACCCAAGTCCAGGATCAATGCCAAGTTTATAACTGCTTCTCTCACCTTTAAATAGGCCATCGTGAGGAGTGGCAATAAGGTAAATGGCACCAAATAGAGAAGGGCAGGTTGGGCTGCTCGGTGAATACGAGATGCCACAGTAGCAGTGAGCAGACCTATGAGGACAGAGAAGCATTTGTGAATAACTCCAAGGGGCCAGCCCTGAGAGAGGAGACAATCTGTTACCTGGATGTGTCTTAGCATCTCGAGACTGTATAAATCTAATGTGACATTTCCATCCAATGGGCAGGGTATAAAATACCTACCTCGAGCAGTTAAAGAGACACAGAATAGCAGTTTAAAAAAAACCTAGAATTCCAAAGACCTGTGACTGGCCCACTCTGTGCCCTGGTTCAAGCCCTCACTTCAGCCCTCAGTGTGCCTGCTCTCCGTCTACTGTGGTATGTGACTTTAGACTTGGAGGCAAAAGACCTGGGTTTAAGTTTCAACTCTGCTACTTACAAGGCTATGTAACCTTGGTTTTAAGGCATTTCATCTTTTGGAGCCTCCATTTGTCTGATGGCTTAATACCATTTGCTCTGCCCCCTTGGAGTTTCTCGAATGAAACAAACTCATGTCTATGAAAGTGCAATGGAATTAGTGAGGTGCTGCTGTAGGCAAAAGAGGTGCTCCTTTCCCCTATCCTAGCCCACTTACAATGTCTCTTCCCATACGCCCATAAGTGAGCTGGCTAGAGGAAAACTAGCCTAGGAAGCATCCAAGGTGACAGAACAAATGAAGGGAAATATGTTTAATGAAGTAGGAAGTAGGAAATACATATGACATTCATTAAACTCAAGCTGAAGACTTTAAATTAAGCATATAGACTGGCCCATGATCATTATGTGGCAGGTGTTCTTGACTTTGAGGCCAAACCATACTCTTACTACAATGCTCTTCAGACAGGGAACTGGCCTGGCCAGTACAGTCAGCATCTATCACCTCATGGGCTTGTGGGTGTTTTCCTTTGTGGTTGTCTAGTAACAGCAACCAGTTACTGCTCTCCTTCTATCCAGGGTCTGCAGCTAGAAGACCTGATTTAATTCCAGGTGGAGGAGGACAGCCAGAAAGGGGATCCAAATGCAGGTTCTGGTTCTCTCTTACCTACAAAGTATCCAATGAGGGTGCAGTGAAAGTAGGAGACCTTCTGCATGCGTCCAGAGATGTTGGCGGGTCCAGAGGCACCACAGGAGTCACCGCTGGCTTGTTTTTTGTAGTTGTCATAACGAAGGACAAAGCACAACAGGAGTCCAGGCATCACAATGTCTCCAATGCCCAACATAGAGAAATGACTGCCAGTGGAGCTGGAAGGCAGTGTCACATGTCAGGGATGCCACACTGTAAAATCCTAGTCTCTTCCTCCTATGCAAAATCTATCAGCTCTTTAAGAAGTGAAAGAATTTATCTGAATGGTAGATGGAAATCTCTACTGGTTGCACACTAGTTTCTAAGAGTTTAGAGATTAAAAACCACAAGAGTACTGCCAATAGAGGTCTTTGACCCAGCCCCTTGTAGATGACTACAAGTGATCTGCTTAAGTACTGCCATCTCTAGAAATGTCAAGCAAGTCACTATTTGTCACACATTCACTGCTAAGACTTCAAATAAGTACCTATTACCAGACACAGGAGATTAAAGCAGCATATTAATTTTTCCAGGACTGTATTACCAGGAACTATATAATTTACCCATTGACATATTTTTACAAATGTCTTAGACATAAAAAGATCCAGAATCTCCTGTTAACAGTAGTAACATATGGTTGTTTGATAACATTAATCAATAATAAAAAGCAGCACCTGTATCACTTAGTGATAAATCTTTGCAAGTTAAGTCAATATTCTCTTCCTCATTTGTAAGATGGAGATGCTGACTCACAAACCCTTTCCAGTCTAGGATTAGAATGTTGATGACAAAGATGCATCAAGGAAGAGGAAGGCATGTATTCACTGTCATGAGGCCCGGGATGTCTGTCAGTCCTACCTTGGGAAAACCAGTTTTCCAGGCAGAGACAGGCGAGGAACATCGCGCCCCACATTGGGCCCCAAGTGCAGCTTCCGGGAAAGAACATCAAGAGGATTGTCAGCCGGCTGGGTGGCCACCTTCACCATGACGTTGCTATTGAAGATGTAGGCGGAGAAAAACACCTGCCGAGTGGAGAGTCACCTTTAACAGAGGAGCTGGAAGTGACCTGATTTCAGCACCAGCCCTCTTTGTTCTTAAGAGCAGGGTCTCAGAACACTTCGATATCAAGCGAGCTTTGAGGCATAGCACCTTGTCTTTCTACTCCCTCTCCCACCCTAACTATCACACACAGGTTATCTATTGCAACACATCTCAAGAAACAAAGGCTCAACTAGCTGCCTCCTTACCTTTTAACACATACAGTTCAGGACTGGAGGGAGTGGTCTTAGATGGGAGGTACCCTGGCCAGCCAGACTTCAGTGCTTAAGACTCCAATAAAACGCAAAGGAGAGCAGCAGCTTCAGGAAAATGACACTTACCCAAAAGACATCGTAGATTAGGAGCCCTGAGAGAAGCAGGCAGGAGACCTTGAGGCTGGGTAGGCGGACGAAGGCGATCATGGCGACACAGAGACCCATGGCCAGGGCTGGGGAAGAGACAGCACAGTGTGCAGTACAGGCTCATCCCCTTCCCACAGCTACTCAGCTTATAAACCTTACAAAGTTGTAAATGCCCTCAGCTCCAGTCTAAGAATTTAGCTCATTTTGACCTGCTAGTAATTGGGGAAATCCTTTTTATCGCACTATAGATAGTGCTCAACTGTGTAAGGCCTAGGAGATTCTCTATCATGATAAAGTTCCAAGTTCAGTTCTGGACCTCCTGGCCTCAGTTTCCTGCCTCCCCCCATTACTGCAGATTCATCATCCTTGCTCCTTAAAGTTAACTCACCCTATGTGGCATCCCCTTTCATTCACTCTGGGACACTGTTTCAGCAATTCATTCCTCTATCCTTGCCCCTCTCAAAATCTGGTACATGATGTATCCTTTTAAAAAATTCTCTCTCCTCACAACTAAAATGTAAGGTCCTCAAGGGCATGGTTCCCATCAGTATTCCTGGAGTCTCTAACACGCCTGGCAGGTGAATGGGAACTATGGCCAGAGAACAGATCAAACACATGTTGGGGTAGAAATGCTGGCTGGGGTGGTGGTGTAGGGTAGCAAGAGGTGATGTGTTCAGGAACTTACAGGTGAGTACAAGGAGTGCAAAGCATCAAGGGAACGAAGGAAAAAAGGAAGACGTGAGGTAGATAAGAGGAGTGTGTGGGCAATGGGATCAGAGGACTGACTGATAATAACTGAAAGGGGTATGGAAACCCACTGGGCAGACAAGCAAAAGGGCGGGCTCCCAAGGTTAAATGTACATGCCTCTAACACATGCAGGTGGCCGGTCCATCCCAGAACTTTTCTATTCAATATACCATTCAATTAATCCTAAACCAGCAGGAAACTTTACAGGTCTTATGGTCTAAGCATCCACTCATCTTATGCTAATCCTACCCACTTAGCTTGAAGTCAAACATGGACTAGACAACTGCTCAGTGACAGAATTTTTCATGACTCTAAACCAGCAATCTCAAATTTTTTCACCTCATGGCACACATAAGCTAATTACTAAGATTATGCAGCACACCAAAAACATATTTTTTGCCAATCTGCTAAGAAAAATAGGTATAATTTTGATTCACTCACACCTGACAGCTATTGTTATGTTGTTGGCTGTTGTCATTTTTTAATTTGACAATCTAAGGGAAAAGAGGTCAGTGCCCCTGACTAAACAGTCAGGTACCGGCCCAGTCGGGCGTGGCTCAGCGGTTGAACACCGACCTAGGATCCAGGAGATCACGGTTAGATTCCCGGTCAGGGCACGTGCCCGGGTTGCAGGCTCGATCCCCAGTTGGGGGTGTTCAGGAGGCAGCTGATCAATGACTCATCATTGATGTTTCTCTCTCTCTCCCTTCCTCTCTCTGAAATCAATAGATACATTTAAAAAAACAAAATAGTCAGGTACTTCATATTTTGAAAACTGCTCTAGACAATGTTATTCTATCCCTAAGCTTCCAAACATGAAACTCTGGATTCATTTTCAGTTTATCGCAGTCTTGCATTTATGTACGCTCAATTTGCAGCCACTGTGGGTGTTAATCCTTATTGTTACTGCAAACCTTGGTCTGCTTCGCCCCACTTCCCCCCTCCCCTTACTCTTTACTGCCATCACACAATTTCCTGCTTTAGGGTCACTTGGTTCCCTACTCTGACAGGATCAAGTCTAAGATAAAGCCACACACCCTCAAGCACGACTCACACAGAACAGGGCTGGGCCACCGTCCCTCTCCCTCTCCCTCCCCCACTCCCCCTCCACTCCCAATCCTCTCCCTCTTCCTCCTCTCCGAGTTAAGCAAAAAATAACCTGTTTCCATACCAACCGAGTCTCCCAACTGTACTTGAAGTCCCATGTCTGAGAGGCAGAAAGCATCCCTTTGGACCACTCAGAGAAAGTTCTTAATGTAAGTCTTTTGAATGAGTATCACTCCTACACCCAAATGAACATTGCCAAAGCTAGGTACTCACACAAGCTACATCTTATCCCCAAAACACAGTCAACTACTCATCTAGTTTGCCTCTCTTTCTTCATTCCTTCATTCAAGGAACCCTGAAAAATCTTACCTTCTCTTAAGGGCTTTTCCAAACCAAAATGAAGAACTTTCCCTTGCTCCATGACACTTGAGAAACTGCGAGACTCTCCCTAGTAGCTTTACGAACAAACTTGCCTTTTGGTTAAATGTAAATTAAGCTATGGTGTTAGGGAAGTAAATTATTAATCTTAGCTACTTAGCTATAATTACTTTCAATTTATTATTGATATAATCTCTGCATCACCTTCTCTTCCACAACCAGCAGGCCAAGGACAAAGACAGTGACACCAAACTGAGCTTAAATGTTCTTGAAAAGGATTATGTGACATGTAAGGTCTTAAGCAGTCTTGCTTCTAAGATTTCTAGATAGCTAAGCCCTATGTGGACTAGGCGCCAGAGTCTAGTATTTTAAAACAAAAAACCTAGTTGTTAGATTTCTGGCATGAAACATTTTCTTTTCTTTTTTTAAAATATATCTTTATTGATTTCAGAGAGAGGAAAGGAGAGGGAGAGAGAGAGACAGGAGTATCAATGATAAGAGAGTCATTGATCAAGCCGGCAACTCGGGCATGTGCCTTGACCGGGAATCGAACCCTGATCGCCTGGATCCCAGGTCGACGCTCAACCGCTGAGCCATGCCCGGCCGAGCTAAACATTTTCTAATCATAGCTTAGTAGCAAGTGCTGTAGAGTGAGGGGCTGGAGCAAGACAAGACTCTTCCAGTCTCTGAACTGGTCCGAGGATGCAGACTGTGAAGCTGGTTGAATGATCCTTGAACACTAGGTATGTGTGCACAAGGTTCATCAGCTTTTAGCTAACATACCACACCACCTACTGGTCAAATCCTTAAAAGCTCTCCCAAATTTAAAAGGTTAACTTACCAGATGAAACAAAGTAGATAAAAAAGAGCTCTAGATTTAGTTCAAGAAGACTGAAGTTCCTTCTTAATATTAATGCTCCTTAGTATAACCCTGAAAATATACTTCATGCCTAGCCCTAAAACAACCACAAATGATGAATTCTAAATTAACTTCAAAGAATAGGCTTTAATTAAGAAACACTCATTTAAAATAACTCTACCAACAAATCACTTCCTACAAGATGACCTCTGATTCTGCAGAGAAGTCTGGAAAGATAATTTCTACGTCAGAGAAAAACATATTTCAGAATGTTAAAGACCATAGCTAGAAAGCTACAGTTTCTATAATTAGCAGAAAACAAGTCAAACACACATCAATCACTAATCTGAAAAACAAAAAGCTCAAAGGCTCTTCTTTCTTTTGAGGGAAAACTCTGTACTTGTTCACAAGGGTAGTTTAACCAGTGCAAACTGGTAGGAAGAAGGTATCTTTGGACGAGTAAATATTGGGAAACAGCAATGATGATAGAAAATGATGCAAAAGGCTCCTATTTAGGGCCAGTTAGGGCCTATGGGAGCCTCATGAGCAGTCAAATTTCAATTATAAGGTGCACTTCACAGTGGCAATGGTCACTGGGCACAGTTTGTCCCTTACTGCCAGTTTTCCATCAACTCTATCGTCTAGAGGAGAACGCTGCAGCAGAATGCACCCTTCAGCGTCTTACAAAGAGCTGCTTCTCCCATTTTTCCTTTAGCGAGTCTAATAAGCACATTCCCACTCGTACCTGCAGAAGTGCAATGGTGAAAATTTGGCTGACTTGCTCTAAAATGTTTCAGATGGTGGTGTAAATCAGTTTATCTTGAAAAGAATGTCATCTTCCATCATGCCAACCTTTTTTTATTGACACATTACTAGTAAATAGGTATTTTTCTGTTCTATGCAATGCTCAGGTAGGGTAGAGATGAGAGTATAAAGAACACACTGCTTGCTGTTTTGAGAGATCTGATCTTTTCTGGGTCAGCAGCTTAGGAAACTTAAAAAAACACCCTGTAAATAATATCGTGTGTCTGGACACATGATAATGAGTTTCATGAAAGCAGAGCCACCGAAAGTTAGTAGTGGGATTAGAGACCCTCAGAGCACCCAGGGAACTTTAAGTACCATCTGTCATCATACGAACCCTGAGTGTGCATGGAGACTAGTCCTGCCTAGGTGATTCTTGCTTTATGTATTTACTCTAGTTGAGAAATAGCACCTGGAGTTTTCATTGCCTCATGTCACATAACATCTGTGTAGGTGGGGTTAAATGTGCTCAATTTATATCTGTGCTATTATTTGTTCCATCATTCTGCTGCAGAAACCAAGAGTTAATCTTAGGGAAAGTCAAACACACATACCTGCCGCTTCATCACTCTCAACACCCAGTATGTGTAGAACAGGCATTGCCTTCCACCACAAGCTGGGAAGCAACCTGTGTGGCTTTGGATGTAATGTCTGTTTCTCAACATACTCTTTATCAAATACTAGTTCCTAAGACTACTGACAGAACTGATACTTGATTTGGAAAATTTAGCAGTTCTGTCAGCCACCTGAACATTTTAAACACTGTACTTCAGAATGCTTATATGCACAGTGGGCACTCAAGTACTGAAGCAAATGATCACAGTAAATGTTTTTTATAAGGCAACGTATGATGCTAAAATAAGACTAAAGCTGTGCACCAGTGATTTTACGGGGCCTGCTCGTTCCTTAGATGTATAGTCCTATGAATTCTAACAGATCTGTGGAGCCACCACCACACTCTGTATGGAACAGCTGTATCACCCCACTAAAATCCCTGTTATTTCTTACAATCAAACCCTCCTCCCCACATAACCACTGATTTTTCTCCATCACTGTAATTTTATCCTAAGCAAGAAATATATTTAAAAATAAGTATATCATATGTTTTGCATGTTTTTTAAAAAGTGCTTTTTCTGTAGTTATCACTTTTCATTAAAATAACGTCTGTGGTTTAAATATAATTTTACAGAGCTTGCAATCCACTCAATGGTTTGTTTCCTAATAATATGCAGCTTCTTAGAGTTTTTTCACTAATTTGGTATATATAAAGTTCAAATCCTTGCACTTGTTAAAGTAACTTAAAGAGAGAAAAAAATCTCTTGAAACAGAAGGGTAAGATTTTAGTTTCCTTTAAGGTTTAAAATTCCTTCTTTATTAAGACTATGTTATTGATTCCAGATTACAGGGGGGAAAATACAGTTTAAAATCCTTTTTGTTAAATTCTACCAATGTGAACATGAGCAGAACATCCTTGGTTTTGAACTGTCCAGGAGAGGTAAATTCAGAGACAAAGTAGATTAGTGGGTGACCAGGCCTGGGTGGGGGGACATGACTGCTAATGGGTTTGTGTTTTAGAGGCGAGGTGATAAAAATGCATGCACTAAAACTGATGTAGTGATGTTTGTACAACTCTGAGTGTACTAAAAACCAACGAATTGTACACTTTACGTAAATTGTATGTGAATTATATCTCAAAAAAAGCTCTTATTAAAAAAATCCTTAAAAGGCGGGTAAAAATAAAAAACTCAATGATACATAACACCATCTTCAGATACCTAATATTCATGGTAATCAAAAGTAGTATGACTAAAACACAGCAGAGCAAGAGGGGACAAATTTAAGTATCTATAAACTATATCAGAATTTTAACCTGTCACATGGTAGTTACTCACCATCCATGAGAAGCCAATGGCCAGTGAGAACCCAGATGAGGACGAGCATGACAGACAGAGAGAACGACAGCAGCTCAGCAGCAGTGAAGCGCCCACAGCAACCAAAGGAAATCCTGGAAAACACGTGACACATTCTATTCAATAACCAAACTCTCTTTTGGTGGTTCATAATCAGAGTTCATCAGGGCCAGATTAGAGTAGTAGGCAAGTATCTAGATACCCAGATATGAAACATACCCAAACCTCTTTGGAGCAAATTACAGAGAGCTCAGAGAATTATATTTCTGAACCCAATTGATAATGTACTTTTTATCCCAAATTATCAACATGGGTGTTTAGAAGTTTAAAGTGACAATATCAATCTTTGGAGATTCTAAGTACAGTGGAAATTCTATTCTTATGAGGAAAACACTGAGGAAAGTTAATAATTCAATTCATTTAGCAAAGATGAATAAATACTTATAGTAAATCTATTTGGTTATCACTAATTCCTGGGAATATCAGCTGCCCCCACATGATGGTTTCCTAAGTGCATACACCATCTCCATTAGCAACAGACTTTTGTTTCCACGGAGCAAGAGCTTTAGGAGTTAAGGTGTTTCGAACATTGGGATTAAACCTAAGTGATTCTAGGTCACCAAAGATAAAAGGCAAAGAATGTATGAGTCAACAACTATTTTCATATTCCATTAACTCATCAGTAAAAGAAAGAAAGCACTGCTTTAAAAGGAAAATTCTCATCTTTCAATAAGCTAAGCAGGAAGCGTATTACAATGACTCTGACTTCCTAGGATTTGTTTATATTTCCTCTACTATGAAAAGGTGCAGCCCAGCCAGGCGTGGCTCAGTGGTTGAGCATCGAACTAGGATCCAGGAGATCAAGGTTCGATTCCTGGTCAGGGCACATGCCCGGGTTGCAGGTTCGATCCCCAGTCAGGAGAATGCAGGAAGCAGCCGATCAATGACGACTCTCTCATCATTGATGTTTCCCTCTCCCTTCCTCTCTCTGAAATCAATAAAGATATATTTTAAAAAATAAAATAAAATGCACAATGTCCTCCATTTCCTACTGTTTCCTCAGGGCAACTCCTTCTCTGAAATTTACTGGGGGGGAAAAAAGGTGCAAAAGAAAGTACTACTGTCTTCTAGTTTTAAAAATCAAACATCTCACTTCCCAGTTTCCTAGCATGTGTGAACTCCAGTCAGTACAAGAAATTTAGACTCAGCCCTGGCCAGGTAGTGTCGTCCCGATACGCAAAGGTTGCACGTTTGATCCCCAGTCAGGGCACATCCAAGAAGCAACCAATGATGCATAAGTGGAACAACAAATCGATCTGCCTCAAATCAACCAGTAAAAATTAAAAAAAAAAATTCAGACTCCTAATAATGCTAACAAGTGTGAAAGAAACACACAAGTTTATGCTTTTGAGGGAACTCCCAGCTCCTTACTTGTTCTGAGGCGAGCAAGGTCTTGTTAAATACTGGCACATCGGGAGCAGGAGGAAAGCAAAGGCTATCGTTGCAAGAACTGCAGAGAAAACGTAGGGTTACACTTTGTTGTGTGTGGGTTTTTCACATTATTAAAAAAAGGCATGACTTATGGAAACTTAATCATTTCCCAGAATACTTTTCTCGACAAGTGGATAGAATCAAATTAACCAGAGAAGAAAAGTATCTTCCTTTCCCATTGCACACATAACCCATCTCTTAAAAAACAATGAACAGGACCTGCCATGCGGTGGCGGAAGCGCAGGTAGGTTTCCTCCTTATTTTCCCTCTCAACAAGGAAAGATACACAGCGGCCCAGGGGATTATCTCCTAACAAGTCTAGCATTCTGTTCATGTATTACACATTTTCATCAGTGCTCAGCTTAAAAACTCATCAGAGAGCTGTCAGTGGAATTCCCTTAATTAGACATCAATGTTTCTAGCTGTGGAATCATCAGTAAGGATTGCCAATGATGAGTCTGCCAAACTGGACTTTCTAGAAACCTACCAGACCAGGAGCCACAGCCAAAGTGATCCTGCTCTGGTGTCATAAAGCTCCCTGGCCTTTTGTTCAGATTATGTTGGTAGGTTTGAACTGATATGTGCGTCAAAAGGTTCAAGGAGGGGTGAGGGGAGGAAAAGCCAGACTGAGGAAGAAAAGCTTGATGAGTGGAATAGTCTATAAATCATAACTTTTGAATGATAATAAAACAAGGTGAACACATTTCCTTTTAGGTTAATGCAAAGAATAGGGAGAGAAATTAATTTACCTGCTGTACATATTGTAAAAACTACTTGAACTGAGTCAAAGAAGAAGAACATAACTAGGAGAGAGACAGATGCTCCAATTGGGAGGAACAGGGCCTGGGTAGAGTCAATAGTTTGGATACCTGAAAAAGAGAAAGGGACATATTAATGTGCACTGTGCCATGTACTTTAGATACATTAACATATTAGAATGCAGACAGTCCTAGGGATTAGCAGATAAGACAGATTATCTCGACCCCCTAAATCTTTCTTTCCCAATGGGATTATGAATTCCTTGCTCTCCTCAGAGTGCCTTCATTAAAGTAGCTGCTCAAAAAATACTTGTTGAAGTGCTAACCATCTGGATGACAGGGTGCCAAGAACAAAAACAAACGAAATCAAGAACATTCAAAGGTAGTAAAAATCCAGATTTGTTAATCTGAGTACATTTGGGGTCTTGTATATAGGTTTGGTAAAAGAGGTAGTTTAAACCCACTGACTAAAATTATTTATCATCTTCGGGTTTATTGTACTCATGCTCCCTCTTCCCCACTGATGCTAATAGTTGAGGACTGACTTTGGGGGTAGGGAAACGGAGAGAACAAAACATCTGAAAACAGCAAATCAGAAAAATTATTTTATGAGAACATTTTTAAGGAACAAATAGGATTTAGCACAGTGGCTCTCTGTTCTTGACTCATCATCAGAATCACCTGGGGGAGTTTAAAAAAAATGACAATGCCCAGGCCCAGCACCAGATTAATTAAACTGAAATCTCGGGGGATTAGTAGCCCCAGCTAAAAACGCCACACAAAATTTTATTTTGCATTTAGTGTTGAGAAACATTAATAGGATATTTGGTGGAAAAGGTAAATATGACAACCACTGAGTGAAAAGAAAAAATTACTCATTTTATCTTATGTGTGATCTACTTCCAAATTAACCCTGCCGAGCTGTAAGTGCATGAGAGGAACTAAAAAAGAAATTTTCATTAGCTGTGTGTCTATTTTTTTGTCAATACCATACTGTTTTGATTACTGTAGCTTTCTAGAATAATGTGAAGTCAGCAAGTATGATACTTCTGGTTTTGTTCTTTTTTCTCTGGGTTGCTTTGGCTATTTGGGGTCTTTTGACACACAGACCAATGGAACAGAATGGACAGCCCAGAAATAAAGCCACACATACCACGGGCAACTAATTTTTGACAAAGGAGCCAAAAACATACAACAGAGAAAGGAAAGCCTCATGCAAAATAAAAAAACTAGACTGCTATCTGACACCATAACATAAAAATTAACTCAAAATGGATTAAAGACTTGAATATAAGACCCAAAATAAAATACATAGAAAACACAGGCACTAAACTTATGAACCTTAGTCTCAGAGAGGTTTTTGTGAATTTGACCCCAAAGGCAAGGGGAGTAAAGGCAAACATAAATGAATGGCACTACATCAAACTAAAAGGCTTATGCCCAGCAAAAGAAACCATCAACAAAACAAAAAGGCAACCAACCAAATGGAAGAAGATACTTGCAAATGATACCTACAATATTCAAAATATATAAAGAACTCAATAAAACAAAGCAAACTCCGATTAAAATATGTGCAGCCTGGCTGGCGTGGCTCAGGGGTTGAGCATTGATCTAGGATCCAGGAGGTCGAGGTTTGATTCCCGGTCAGGGCACATGCCCGGGTTTTGGGCTCGATCCCCAGCAGGGGGCATGCAGGAGGCAGCCAATCAATGACGAATACATCATTATGTTTCTATCTCTCTCTCCCCACCCTCCCTTCCTCTCTCTGAAACCAATAAAAATGAAAAAAAAAGTGCAGAGGACCTGGACAGATGCTTTTCCCAAGGAAGGCATAAAGATAACCAACTGAGATATGAAAAGACGCTCAACTTCACTAGTTACAAGGGAAACGCAAGTCAAAACCACAATGAGATCCCACCTCACACCTGTCAGAATGGCTGTTATCAGTAAGAGAAGAAATAGTGAGTGCTGGAGAGGATGCGGAGAAAAAGGAGCCTCCTTCACGGCTGGTGGCAATGTAGACGGTGCAGCCACTATGGGAACAGTCCAGAGGCTCCTCCAAAATGAAGAACAGAGCTACCATATGCCCCAGCAACCCCTCTTCTGGGTATCTGTCTGAAGAATCTGAAAACACGTATTTCTAAAGATATATGCACCCTACGCTCACTGGAGTATTATTATTCACAGTAGCCGATACACGGAAACGAGGACTGGGTAAAGACGCGCACCAACATACAGGCGTAAGGAAGGACTAACTACTGCCATCTGCGACATGGCTAGATCCTGAGAGTACATGCCAAGTGAAGTAAGTCAGGCAGGAAAAGACAAGAACCGTATCATTTCACCCACATGTGGGACATAAAACAGAAAGCAGCAAGCTAACTCCTAGACACAGACAACAGTATGGTGGTTACCAGGGGGGAAGAGTGGAGGGGAGAGGAGAGGAAAGGGGTCAAATACATGGTGGCGAGCGCACAATGCAATATACCGAAGATGTGTCATAGAACTGGACCCCTGAAACTCATTAGTTATTAACCAATGTTACCCTAATAAATTTAAGAAATTTTCATATGATCTTTATAAAAAATATTAGTAAGAGCCTCTCTTAATTAAGACTGTAAATAAAATATGCGACCAGGATGAACATAAATAAACACAAAGGGTTGTAATCATCAACCAACATTTAAAAATTCCTCCTGGTAAATTTACCTGGCCCACTGTTGCTCTCCCTTACTTGCCTTTCTCTTTACACTCTTTGTACATAAATGTCAAAATGACTTCATCTCTAGTGCTTACTCTGATTTACTGATAGTAAATGCCTGTTCAGAATGATTCTGAGGCTATGCTAAGAGCCAAAAGTACTTGCTCTAGGTATAGGATGGGAAGCGGTATTTGCTAGGTCTGTCTGAGCATTTTATTAACACCTTGGAAACTATTTTGGCCTCACTGCCCATGAGACAGCTTGGGGACCAGCTCTTATACTTTTGCATCCTTCAATATATCTAACAGAATGCTGAGTGCATGGTAGGTATCCAATACCAATCTCTCAATGTTATCAAACCAATCCTCTTTATTTCTAATTCAATTCTTTTTACAATAAGCATTATCAGTTTTCTATAACTATACTGAGGTACAATTTATAAAATTCACCTGTTTTAAGTGTGTGATTAAATAATTGTTTTGTGGTAAATGTACCAAGTGTGAAGCCATCACCATAATCTAGTTTTAGAACATTTTCACCACCTCAAAGATGCCCTCATGCCAGTTATACTTAATTCTTCCCGTCCCTCCGCCCAGGCCACCACTGACCTACTTACTATGTCTCTGCATTTGCCTTCTGGAACTTTCATATAAATGTACTCATACAATATACAGTCTTCCCTGCCCGGCTGCTGCTTTTTTTGGTTAATCCTCACCCAAGGATATTTTTTCCGTTGATTGTTTTGGAGGGAGGAAGGGAAGGAGAGAAACAGCTATGTGAGAAAGACACAGCAACTGGCTGCCTCCTGCATAAGCCCCAACTTGGGTGGGAATCAAACCTGCAACCCAGGTATGTGCCCTTGACTGGGAATTAAATCGAAGGCCCTTTGGTGTGAGGGCCACTGCTCTAACCACTGGGAACACAGGCCCGGGCTTTTGTCTGGTTTTTTTTACTTAACACAATGTTTTGAGATTCATCTTTGTTGTAGCATGTACTTCATTCTTTTCAGTGCTGAATAGCATTCCATGTATAGATAGACCACATTTTGTTTATCCATTCATTAACTTAAGGATCTGAGTTGTTTCTACTTTTTGGCTATTATGAATAATGCTGCTGAACATTTGCCATATAGCACACTTCTGTGTGTTTTTTAAAAACAAATATTCTTATAAAATCTTAAATATCAGAAAAGATAGTCACAGTACTTAGTTTTACAAGTACTTCAAGTAGCTGTCTCTGTCACTGAATGAATTTATGATCAACACCTACAAAATGACCAGCCTCAACAAAATATTTAAATGTAGTCATAAACAGGCAGCTATTGATCTATCTTGCTTATCTTTAAGACGATAAAGAACCTCAGCAGCCAGCTTTTAGGCATGAGTTAAAAGCAGTACACAAGAAATCAATAGTTTAGATTCAAAACATAATTTAACAAATTATTACCATACAGATTAGATTTTGTTATACCTAACATAAATCTTGAACCCAGTTAATTAAGTGGGGTTATAGAAAGAATCAAATTAAAACTGCATGTATGAAAGATAATTGACATAAATGCCTTACTATTATTGCTGCTGTTGCCATTGAAAGACCCAGAAGAACTGTTACTGTCTTTCTCTTTATCTTGATTTTCAAAGTCCATATTAAGGGACCTGTGGGAAAAAGTGTATAGGTAAGTTTTAGTTTTGCTTAAGAAAGAAGTAGGTTTAAAAAAGTCAGTAACAAAACAGTATTTTAAAATGCTAAGGTATCAGGAGAGAAAGGAAGGTCTCCTGACCAACTCTGCAAAACAGTTCTTGCCACATTTCAAAAACAATCTACATTCCTTCCCATATGTCAGAGTTCAAGAGTTTTAAAAGCATTCCACTGTGGCTGAATCTTCCAGCACATCCTTAATTACTTCCTTATGTGATAAATACCTAGAGGGAAAAATGTGGGATCAAAGGTCAAGCACAATTTTGAGACTTTTTAACATACTACACAACTACTTCCAGAATGGCTGGACCGATTTACTCTGATAGCAGCATATGACAGTACTTATTTCTCTATACTTTGTCAACTTTTATTCAACAACAGATATCTGAGTTTCTGCTATATCTGGGACTGTTCCAGGTACTGGAGGGACAATAAACAGTGAGTAAAACAGGCTTTACATTGAAAGAGGGGAGAGACTGACAATAAACAAGTTAGTTAAACATATGGTATATTAATGGTAAGAGCTAAGGGAAAGTGCAGGAAATGGAGACGTTAGGTTTGAAATTTTAAATAGGGTGGGCAGGGAAGGCCTCATTAATGTGACCTCTGAGTCAAGACCTGAAGGAAGTTTGTAAATATGAGGGACGAAAAAATGCTATCTCTGTTTTAACGCAGACTTCTTTAAACTCTGAACAATTTTATGTACATGAGCTTGCCCATTTCTTTCTTTCTTTGAAAACTACCTGATCAAGAGTTTAGCTCATTTTATATGTTCCTTTAAAGAAGGGATTTGTGGGTATTTGTGTGTCCAAAAGGACTTCCTGTGATGACGGAAATGTTCTGTATCTACACTGACCAATGTGGTAGATATCAGCCACATAAGCACTTGAAACGCGGGAGTGCAACTGAGGTACTGAATTCTGCATGTCATTTAATTTTAATAATTTGAGAGCTGAAACTATAGAAGTCTTAGATGAAAACATAGGGGGTAAATCTTTGTGACCTTGGATTTGTTCAAGCCATTTATTCTATTACTTATTGAAGGTGGCAGTGGGGTGGGGGGTGATCTTCAACTACATTTGTGGATTTATTTCTCTTTGCAGTTCTATTAGCTTTTGCTTCATGTATTTTTTATTTTATTTTTAAAATATATCTTTATTGATTTCAGAGAGAGGAAGGGAGAGGCACAGGGAGAGATAGAAACATCAATGATGAGAGAGTTGTCACTGATTAGCTGCCTCCTGCAGGTGAACTGGGGATCGTGCCCAGAACCCGGGCATGTGCCCTGACCAGGATTTGAACTGCGATCTCCTGGATCCTAGGTTGATGCTCAACCGCTGAGCCACGCGGGCTGCTTCATGTATTTTAAGGTCTTTTAATAGGTTCATAAACATTTAGAATAATTATATCCTGTTGCTTAATTGATCCCTTTATCATTATTAAACCACCTTCTTTGTAGTAATATTCCTTGCTCTGAGAGTTGCTTTGTCTGATATTTATATAGCCACTCCAGCTTTCTTTTGATGAGTATAATCAAGATTGTCTTTTCCTAATCTTTCACTTTAAGTATTTTTTTCTGGCTTTATATCTAATAGCATGTAATTGGATCTTGCTTTTTAATTCAATCTGATGATTCCTACCTTTTAATTGGGGGGTGTTTAGGCCAATTTCATTTAATGTGATTATTGCTATGATTAGGTTTTCATATTATCATATTGCTATTTCTTTTCTATTTGTCCTATCTTTGGGGGGGGTCCCCTTTACCTGCCTTCTTTTGGATTAATACAGTATTTTTTATGATTGTTTTATTTTCTTTGTTGTCTTATTAGCTATAACTCTTTGTTCTTTTATTTTAGTAGCTGCTATAAAATTTACAGTATACATTTCTGAGCCACACTGTCTACCTTCAAATTATAGTATACTACTTCATGTACAGTATATCAATCTTACAGTGGTTACATTTATTTTTCCTCTCTCAACCTTTGTACTATTACTGCCATGTATTTTGCATGTTACACTATAAATTCCACAATATATTTTTGTTTATATAGTCAATTATCTTTTAAACAATTTTAGATAAGAAAAAACCCTGTATGTTTATCAATGTAATTACCATTTCCTGATCTTCATTCCTTTGTATAGCTCCAGATTTCCAACTGATACCATTTTTAATCTGCTTCAAGTACATCCTTTAACATTTCTTGTAGTGCAAGTCAGTTGTGATGAATTCTTCCAGGTTTTGTGTGTCTGAAAACATCTTTACCTTGTCTCCACTTTTGGAAGATATTTTGCCATAGAATTGTTTTGACAGTTTTTCTTTCTGTACATTAAAGCTGATGTTCCACTGTCTTCTCGCACTATTTTCAATGAGAAATCGGATGTCCACCCTTATCTTTGTTCCTGTGTATGGAGCATATCTGCCCCTGCCCCTTCTTTCCCTGGCTGCTTTCTAGTCTTCAGTTTTATCACTGGTTTTGAGCAATTTGATTATGATGTGCTCTGGTGTAGTTTTCTTCATGTTTCTTGTGCCTGGAGGTTTTAGAGTTTCTTAGATCTATGGGTTGTCGTTTTTTTCAAGTGTGAAAAAATTTTGGCCATTCTTTCTTTTTTTTAAATGTTTTTTAATTGACCAGAGAAAGAGAGAGAGAAACATCATTTAGTTGCCTCCTGTACACACCCTGACCGGGGATGAAACCCAAAACCTAGGTATGTGCCCTGAACAGGAATCGAACCCACAACATTTTTGGTGCATGAGACGACACTCCAACCAACTGAGCCACTCAGCCAGGGCTGGGCTATTCCTTTAAGTATTTTCTGTCCCTCCCTTTCTTCTCTCTGAGATTACAGTTACTCATACATTAGGCCATTGGAGGTGGCTATTGGATAGCCAATGATAGCTCAAGGATATTCTTTTCATTAACAATTTTTTCCCTCTTTTCTCTATTTCATTTTGTATAGTTTTATTGCTGTGCCTTCAACTTCACAAATCTTTTTTTCTGCGATGTCTAATTGATGTTAATCCTATCCAGTGTATTTTTGATCTCAGACATTATTTTCATCTCCAGAAGTTTGATTTGGGTAGTTTAAAATATCTACCTACCTTTTTGTACATATGTAATACAATTTATACTATCTGTTTTGATGTACTTCTCTTGTTAATTCTAACATCTGTCAGCTCTGGGTTGATTCTGATTATTCTCATCATTGGTTAGGTTTCCTTCCTCTTTGCTACCTGGTAATCTTTGCTTGTATGCCAGACACTGTGAATTTTACCTTGTCTCAATATTTTTATATTCCTATAAATCTTCTTGAGCTGTGTTCTGGGATGCTGTTAGTTACCTGAAAATAGTTTAATCTCTTCAGGTCCTGTTTTTACAATTTATGAGGCAGGTCTGAAGCAGTGCTCACTCTAGGGTAATTCCCTACCACTGAAGCAGCACCTTTCTGAGGGCCTCACCCAACACCACATGAATCATACATTTTTTCCAGTCCTGCTGGTGGGAACAGGTACTTTTCCCTTTAATCCTTTCCCATTATTCTTTACTCAGCCTTAGGTCATTCCTTCCACGCATGCACTGATCCACACTCATGAATACTCAAAGGGTCTATCTGCAGATCTCTGGAGTTTTCTCTTTGTAAGCTTTCTTCTTTTTTGTATTTGGACTTATAACTCTAGCTGCCTCAGTCTCTCTGGACCCTCAGGTCTGCCTCCTCGACTTAGGGAATCTTTCTCCTTGTACCACAACCTGGAAACTATCTTTAATTTTTGTCTAAAGTTTATTTTTGACAAAAAAATTGTATACAGATGATTTTTGAACTTATCGTGGTTCAACAGAATTTTTCTTTTCTTTTTTTTTAAACATATCTTTATTGATTTCAGAGGGAGGAAGGGGGGGAGAGAGAGAGAGAAAGAAACATCAATGATGAGAGAGTCATTGATCGACTGCCTAGCCCGCAACCTGGGCATGTGTCCTGACCGGGAATCGAACCCCGATCTCCTGGATCCTAGGTCGATGCTCAGCGCCCGGCCCGGCTCAACAGAATTTTTCAACTTGACAACAGTGCAAAAGTAAAACACATTCAGTAGAAACCAGCTATTCTCCAGCCTCATGAGAAGAGAGAGATACTGATGACCCTGTTACTGTCATATCCCCATCATCCAGCAATTTAAATTATTTAATACTACAGCCATTCTTTAGGCCTAGTGTATTTTCAACTACGTGTGTTAATGGTGAAAACCCACACAACCATTCTGTTTTCACTGTCAGTACAGTATTCAATTACATGAGATATTCCATGCTTTATTATAAAACAGGCTTTGTGTGTTAGATGATTTTGCCTAACTGTAGGCTAAGTAAGTGTTCTGAGCACATTTAAGGTAGGCTAGGTAAGCTATGATGTTTGGTAGGTTAGGTGTACTCAATTCATTTTTTACTTACAATATTTTCAACTTATGATGGGTTTATCAGGACATACCCCATCATAAGTCAAAGAGCATCTGTATATTTAAGGTATACAACACGATGTCTTTATATACGTATACACTGTGAAATAATTACCACAATCAAATTAATTAACATGTCTATTAACTCCCACAGTTGTCTTTTTGTTTGTGGGCAGAACACAAGATCTCCTCTCTTGGCAAATTTCAAGTATATGATACATTATTATTAACTACAGTCACCATGATGTATGTCTCCAGAACTTATTCATCTATCATTGAAAGTTTGTACCCTTTGATCAAT